AGGGGCGGGGGATCCAGTGAAGGGGGAGGGACAGGGAGGGTATGGGGTGAAAGGGGAGGGAGGACGGGAAGGAAAGGGGGGAGGGAGGACTCGGGAGGAGGGGAGGGGTAAAAGGGTGGGGATTGGGTGTGGGGGGAGGGAGATTTGGCTGAACATTTGAGTGGGGGCAGGGAGGGTTTGGGGTAGGGGGGTTTTCTATGCAGAGGAGGGAGGCGGGGTTGTCCTCCCTTCTGGTGTTACTGGGTAGCTGGTTGTGGGTTCCCCCCTCGCCTCTGGGGGTGTTGGGTTGGGAGCTGTGACTTCCTGGTTTTCCCCTCTCGCCCTGCGCCTTTTCCTTGCTTCTGCCGCCACGGCTCTCTCCTCCCTTGTCATGTCTCTCTGGAGGAATACATTTTTTAATTTTCCCACGTTTTTCAGGGAGCTCTTCCTTGATAGGATCTTCTCCTTTGTGTTCTCGTTTGCAAACACTATCTTTATCATTCGGTCTCGGTCTTTGTTGTACCAGCCTAGCCTGAAAACCTTCTCAATGCTATGCTCAGCCCCTTCCATGTCTAGTGCCTTTAGTACTTCATTCACTGCTGCTTTGTCCTTGTCATTCCACTCTGTCCTGTTAGATCCTTCCTGCTCCTTAATACCCACAGCAACCACTGATCTGTTCCTTTCCAGCAGTTGGCTAGTGGAGCGTGCCGCCTCCTGCGAGGTGGCTGCTTTCATGGCCACCTCCATCACTGCAGTCAGTTATTTTTTTTTTTAGTATTTCCGTATGTGTATGTGTGTGTGTGTGTATGTATATGTATGGGTATAAAGCATATATGGAAGCTGATCAGAATTACATTTCACCTTTGTGAATGTACATTAATGACACTATGTAAAAGACACATCTAACACTTTATGTAGGGCATACGTAAATCTGTGTATCTATGTATTTACGTATGTAGGTCAGCTTAGCATTTTAAAAGCACCGAATCACCTTCTGTGGTTGAGTGTTCAATAAACCCTTGAATTATATGTTTAACACTTCTCTAACCCTGTCCATGGAGGACAGAAGAAAATGTATATATTCTAGTTAGCATTGTAAATGTCTGGCCACGTCTGTGAAAGAAAATAATAATAAAAAAAAAAAAAAAAAACCACCACACCCACTACACCACCACACCCACTACACCACCACCACACCCACTACACCACCACCACACCCACTACACCACCACATATACTACACCACCACACCCATTACAACACCACACCACCACACCCACTACACCACCACACCACTACACCACCACACCCACTACACCACTACACCACACCCACTACACCACCACACCACCACACCCACTACACCACCACACCCACTACACCACCACCACACCCACTACACCACCACCACACCCACTACACCACCACCACACCCACTACACCACCACACCCACTACACTACCACCACACCCACTACACCACCACCACACCCACTACACCACCACACCCACTACACCACACACACTACACCACCACCACACCCACTACACCACCACCACACCCACTACACCACCAGCACACCCACTACACCACCACACCCACTACACCACCACACCACCACACCACCACACCCACTACACCACCACACCCACTACACCACCACACCACCACACCCACTACACCACCACACCCACCACACCCACTACACCACCACACACCACACACCCACTACACCACCACCACACCCACTACACCACCACACCCACTACACCACCACCACACCCACTACACCACCACCACACCCACTACACCACCACTACACACCCACTACACCACCACACCCACAACACCACCACAACACCCACTACACCACCACCACACCCACTACACCACCACCACACCCACTACACCACCACACCCACTACACCACCACCACACCCACTACACCACCACCACACCCACTACACCACCACACCCATTACACCACCACACCCACTACACCACCACACCACTACACCACCACACCACCACACCCACTACACCACTACACCACACCCACTACACCACCACACCCACTACACCACCACACCACCATACCCACTACACCACCACACCCACTACACCACCACCACACCCACTACACCACCACACCCACTACACCACCACCACACCCACTACACCACCACACCCACTACACCACCACACCCACTACACCACCACCACACCCACTACACCACCACACCCACTACACCACCACACCCACTACACCACCACACCCACTACACCACCACACCCACTACACCACCACCACACCCACTACACCACCAGCACACCCACTACACCACCACACCACCACACCCACTACACCACAACACCCACCACACCCACTACACCACCACACCACCACACCCCACTACACCACCACCACACCCACTACACCACCACCACACCCACTACACCACCACACCCACTACACCCACTACACCACCACACCACCACACCCACTACACCACCACCACACCCACTACACCACCACCACACCCACTACACCACCACACCACCACACCACCACACCCACTACACCACCACACCCACCACACCCACTACACCACACCACCACACCACCACACCCACTACACCACCACACCCACTACACCACCACACCACCACACCCACTACACCACCACACCCACTACACCACCACACCCACTACACCACCACACCACCACACCACCACACCCACTACACCACCACACCACCACACCACCACACCCACTACACCACCACACCCACCACACCCACCACACCCACTACACCACTACACCACCACACCCACTACACCACACCCACTACACCACCACACCACCACACCCACTACACCACCACACCCACTACACCACCACACCCACTACACCACCACACCACCACACCCACTACACCACCACACCCACTACACCCACTACACCACCACACCACCACACCCACTACACCACCACACCCACTACACCACCACACCCCACTACACCACACACCACCACACCCACTACACCACCACACCCACTACACCACCACACCCACTACACCAACACACCACCCACACCACCACACCCACTACACCACCACACCCACTACACCACCACACCACCACACCCACTACACCACCACACCCACTACACCACCACACCCACTACACCACCACACCACCACACCACCACACCCACTACACCACCACACCCACTACACCACCACACCACCACACCCACTACACCACCACACCCACCACACCCACTACACCACCACACCCACCACACCACACTACATCACCACACCCACTACACCACCACACCCACTACACCACTACACCCACTACACCACCACACCACCACACCCACTACACCACCACACCCCACTACACCACACACCACCACACCCACTACACCACCACACCCACTACACCACCACACCCACTACACCACCACACCACCACACCCACCACACCCCACTACACCACCACACCCACTACACCACCACACCACCACACCCACTACACCACCACACCCACCACACCCACTACACCACCACACCACCACACCCACTACACCACCACCACACCCACTACACCACCACCACACCCACTACACCACCACACCCACTACACCACCACCACACCCACTACACCACCACCACACCCACTACACCACCACCACACCCACTACACCACCACACCCACTACACCTTGAGAGGGCCTCGTAGCCTGGTGGATAGCGTGCAGGACTCGTAATTCTGTGGCGCGGGTTCGATTCCCGCACGAGGCAGAAACAAATAGGCAAAGTTTCTTTCACCCTGAATGCCCCTGTTACCTAGCAGTAAATAGGTACCTGGGAGTTAGTCAGCTGTCACGGGCTGCTTCCTGGGGGTGGAGGCCTGGTCGAGGACCGGGCCGCGGGGACACTAAAACCCCGAAATCATCTCAAGATAACCTCAAGATACACCACCACCACACCCACTACACCACCACCACACCCACTACACCACCACACCCACTACACCACCACCACACCCACTACACCACCACACCCACTACACCACCACCACACCCACTACACCACCACACCCACTACACCACCACACCCACTACACCACCACACCACCACACCCTACACACACCACACCCACTACACCACCACACCACCACACCCACTACACCACCACCACACCCACTACACCCCCACCACACCCACTACACCACCACACCCACTACACCACCACACCCACTACACCACCACACCACTACACCACCACACCTACTACACCACCACGCCCACTACACCACCACGCCCACTACACCACACCACTACACCACCACACCCACTACACCACACCACTACACCACCACACCCACTACACCACCACACCCACTACACCACCACACCACCACACCCACTACACCACACCACTACACCACCACACCTACTACACCACCACGCCCACTACACCACCACACCCACTACACCACCACACCCACTACACCACTACACCCACCACACCACTCCACCACCACACCACCACACCCACTACACCACACCACTACACCACCACACCTACTACACCACCACGCCCACTACACCACCACGCCCACTACACCACCACACCCCACTACACCACCACACCCACTACACCACTACACCCACTACACCACCACGCCCACTACACCACCACACCACCACACCCACTACACCACACCACTACACCACCACACCACCACACCCACTACACCACACCACTACACCACCACACCCACTACACCACCACACCCACTACACCACCACACTACCACACCCACTACACCACCACACCTACTACACCACCACGCCCACTACACCACCACACCCACTACACCACCACACCCACTACACCACCACACCCACTACACCATCACGCCCACTACACCACGCCACATACCTCGTGAAGGAGGACGCGACGCAGCGCTCGCAGCCCTAACCGGCGCCCACACTGGCACCATGCACACTACTGCGCGCCCCGCCACGCCACGCCACCCGCCACGCCACACCATCCGCCACCCGCCACGCCACCCGCCACCCGCCACGCCACACCACCCCCGCCACCCGCCCCGCCACGCCGCGCCACCCGCCACGCCTCGCCACCCGCCACGCCACCCGCCCCAGCATGCCACCCGCCACGCCATACCACCCGCCACGCCATACCACCCGCCCCGCCACGCCACCGGCCCGGCACGCCACCCGCCCCACCACAACACCCGCCCCGCCACGCCACCTCCGCCACGCCACCCGCCCACCACACCACCCGCCCCACCACGCCACGCCACCCGCCCTGCCCCGCCACCCGCCCCCGCCACGCCACCCGCCCCGCCACGCCACCCGCCACGCCACGCCACCCGCCACGCCACACCACCCGCCCCCGCCACGCAACCCGCCCCGCCCTGCCCCGCCCCGCCCCGCCACCCGCCACGCCACGCCACCCGCCACGCCACCCTCACCACGCCACGCCACCCGCCACGCCACGCATCCCGCCACCCACCCGCCACGCCACCCGCCCCGCCCTGCCACGCCACCCGCCCCGCCACGCCACCCGTCCCGCCACCCACCACGCCACCCGCCCCGCCACCCGCCACCCACCACGCCACCCGCCCCGCTACGACACCGACCACGCCACCCACCCCGCCACGACACCCACCACGCCACCCATCACGCCACCCGCCCCGACACCCACCACGCCACCCGCCCCGCCACGCCACGCGACCCGCCACGCCACCCGCCACGACACCCACCACGCCACCCGCCCCGCCACCCGCCACGACACCCACCACGCCACCCGCCCCGCCACCCGCCACGACACCCACCACGCCACCCGCCCCGCCACGACACCCACCACCCACCCCGCCACGACACCCACCACGCCACCCGCCCCGCCACCCGCCACGACACCCACCACGCCACCCGCCCCGCCACCCGCCACGACACCCACCACGCCACCCGCCCCGCCACCCGCCACGACACCCACCACGCCACCCGCCCCGCCACGACACCCACCACCCACCCCGCCACGACACCCACCACGCCACCCGCCACGCCACGCGACCCGCCACGACACCCACCACGCCACCCGCCCCGGCCCGCCACCCGCCCGCCCCGCGCCACGTTCCGCCACCCGCCCCCCCCCCGCCACACCACTCGCCCCGCCCCGCCACTCCACCCGCCCCGCCACACCACTCGCCCCGCCCCGCCACTCCACCCACCCCGCCACACCACCCGCCCCGCCACGACACCCGCCACACCACCCGCCACGCCACACCACCCGCCACGCCACGCCACCCGCCTCGCCCCGCCACGCCACGCCACCCGCCCCGCCACGCCACGCCACCCGCCCTGCCACGCCACCCGCCCCGTCCCGCCCCGCCACGCCACCCGCCCCGTCCTGCCACCCTTACCTCGCCACCCCACACCACTATCCACCAATACCCTTTACGACCCACCAGTACACTTAATGAACTCGTGTCGTCCAGTACCGGGTTATCGGGCCGGGAATGACTGCCTCCCCGCGTGGCCACGGGAGACACGTCCCTCCTGTCACTCCTCCGTCCTCTATGTCAATCACAACAGCACAATTACCAGCCATTTTCTTCATATTGTTGAGTTAAATCCTGCTGGATTATCTGGACGGCAGCCGAGCCACAGTTAATCTTCCTGGATCATGTAATCTACTAAATCCTGCTGGATTATCTGGACGGCAGCCGAGCCACAGTTAATCTCCCTGGATCATGTAATCTACTAAATCCCGCTGGATTATCTGGACGGCAGCCGAGCCACAGTTAATCTCCCTGGATCATGTAATCTACTAAATCCTGCTGGATTATCTGGACGGCAGCCGAGCCACAGTTAATCTCCCTGGATCATGTAATCTACTAAATCCTGCTGGATTATCTGGACGGCAGCCGAGCCACAGTTAATCTCCCTGGATCATGTAATCTACTAAATCCTGCTGGATTATCTGGACGGCAGCCGAGCCACAGTTAATCTCCCTGGATCATGTAATCTACTCTCGGTGTCCACACGAGTCTCAATCCATGTGGACGCCGAATAACTGTCCTCCGAGGTTCCTTGAGAGGCGGGAACCCCTCCCCCAGAGGTGATCTCTCAGGGGTTACTGCCTCATCAGGGGGAGGCGGGTGCGGGCTCCTTCCCCCTAGTGGGTGTCCCTGGGTGTGGGATAGCCTCGCTCACCCCTATTGTGCTTGACTCACAGCTGCTGATTGGACCAGTTTTACTTAGGCTGGGCAGCTGCCACCGTGCGCCCGTTTTCTTTGATTATGTGCTGCAGTAAACAATTAATAATAATTCGTTGTGTCGGGGGACATGCAGCCAGTGTGTAGTTATCCACGTTAGGCTTATGGAGACGTCACAACAACATGCCCAACATGCTCTGGTAGACAACATTCCCAACATGGTACACAACCAGTGTGTAGTGGGAGCTGTACTCACC